GGTCCCAGATACTCTTGTGAACATACCAGTGCTTCCAATACATATACAGTACTGATCTGGTGTGACCAACAACATTTGTCCTGGGGCACAAATGAGGCTGATGAGTTTTAGGTGACAGTATTTATTTACCCCTGCTAGGATATCCCACCACCCTGTAAAAATTTAGTTCAACAAAGCCGAATTTTACATTAAACATCTCCTTACATCTGTTACAACAAGTATCAACAATGATTTGCTTACCAAGCTGTTCTGGAAAACCATTGTTGCCCAAGGCTGTCCATAGACGTGAGTTTTAAATCTCTTGGTCCAGCCATTTTAGGTCAGATCAAGTAACAATCTCATATCTGTTCATGAAGCAGATGCTTACTTGCCAACCACTCTCTAGGGAAGAATCAATTGCATGGGTAAGAATAAAACCCTTTATGATGACTGTTCCATTCTAAGATAAGAGGTTCTGGAGTAACCTGCCTACCCTGGCCACTAGCTCTTTTCAGAGCCATACACAGGAATGCATGCCCAAACCTAGTCATCCTGTTTGTATGGACACCCAAAGATTAGGTGTATGAGAACTTGTGACTTACCTCACAGTTCTATAGGTACCTTAATTGTCTGTGGCTACACAGATAACATCATTTCTAAAAATCATCCTCTTAATGAGCAGCAAATAGGAGCACTAGGTATGGTCTGACATTTGTCTTCCCAGAAAAAGAAAGTCATAAAAAACTTTCTAATGGCTTATGCCCACAAGTTCTGGAATAACGAGGACAGCGGTGTGAGTTCTGTCAGTTACTGTGTCACAAGTTCATTTCATCCCCGAACAGCACACAGCAAAGCAATCACTTTGCTGACCAAATGGGTAAATACACTTTTCTATCCAGGCTTACACTTTCACTCAGTGCTTGCATACTAAGTGCCAGATAACACCAAAGGGTGTAGGGTATATGACTGCATAGAAGTGAATAAGCATGTACTATACTTTTTGACTAAATAATCAATGTATGTGAAATCAGAGAGAAAACTTCTGGTCCTGTTTTCTTTTACTTTATTGTCTGTTCCTAGAGCATACACCACCAGGATAAAATGTCCCCTTTAGCATATTACTTCCCAAGTAGTCTCTAATCTGCTCTGGATTTAACATTGTGTCTAGTTTCTTGTTGCATATACAGTAAGTGAGTTATACCAGGGAAAACAATGGACACATTACACTAAACATTTTCTTCAGCCTATGAAAGTACTTACAAAATGATGTGAATAGATGGAAGTTGGTTCTGGAGAAGGTGCCATGATACTTCCATAATAACAATTTTCGATTGAATTAATAAATATGTTAGATGGGTATTGGTTCTGAAGAAGGTGCCATGGTACTTCCAAAGTAAGAAGCATTTTGTTAGAGAGTAAAATTGGTGACTAAACATAAAGTAGCTTTATTGTTGATTTCACACATATATTCATGTCTGAAATTTAAATAGCTGTTCCAGAACTTAAAAAAACACAAATTGTGATGTTAAAAAAATCATAAGACTTGCAGCAAGAGCCTGCAGTGCATGCAGTAGTATTGGTAAGTGTTAAAGAACATAGAATCGCTGTTCTATGGAGTTCCCCAGTAACCTAGAAAGTGAAGAACTCAGAAGGAGTTAAACCTCCTTTAAACTTTTTTTTTTCAGTGAAAAGTCTGCCAGGAATATCACATCCAGACATAATGATAAAACAGCACTGACAAGGGTGGGGGTGGGGGGGGGACAAAGCTCTTAGCCAGCTGAGGACGTCTGGAAGAAGTGAGGGGCCCTAAGGCATAGCCAGGGGCTCTGAATTAAGCCAAACGCTTGAACAGGAAATGCCAAACCTGGATATCATTATTTCTGAAAAAAAAATCAAAAGCCGTGTCTTTTTTCTCATTAAAATGTATACACAAATGTTTCCATGGCAATGATTGTTTATAGATGATGATGATTAATGGTACTTATGTTGCCAATGAAAGGGTAGGCGTAGTTTAGGAAATCCTTTAACCTTTTACCATGCTTTACGGACAGCAGACCTGGAAAATGTCACAGGTTAAGATTCTATAGAGAAAAGTTATGAAATGTACAATACAGAATGCAAAATTTTCCCTCTGAGGTTAAACTGGATTTTTACATTTTATGTGACAGTTCATCAAACAAAAAGTAATCACAGTTCATTGATTGTAATATCTAAAATATGTATTTTTGGGTGAGTGCAAAAGAGTGTTTCTGTGACAGCAGTAGTGCAGTTGGTATTGTCAATACCAGTATACAGCATCTGGCAGGTAATAGAGAAAGTTGTTTTTCTTTTTTGGTAATACACTAGCGATTTGCTAGATGTTTAAAATCTCAAATGTACTGTATTTGCTTTGTTTTTATTGCTCTCGTGTTGAGATATTTTTCAGCATTATTGGCTTGCCCTTGTTTATTAGCTTCTGCTGAATAATACCTGTCCCAAAGCAACCAATCAGATGAAAGCCTACTCTGAAAAATGGTTAGAATCTAATTTGTGACTAATGAGAATCTAATGAGCAAGAAAGGCAGTGCTTTTTTGGTACTTGTTGATACACAACGCAGTGACCACTATTTACTAAAGGAGTAAAATGTAATTTTCATTTTTACTTTGCAAAGTGAATTTTCACTTATTTGAGCGATCAAGGTCATAGTTAAAAAATTCACTTTGCAAAGAATACCCAATCATATAGAAGAAAAAACAGGATTTTTACTTGCAAATGATTGGATAGTTGGAGTCAGCATAACTTCAAGTGGATTCTTCATTATAGTTAAGTCAGTAGACAGTTGTGGCAATTTGCAGGTTAGTGAAACAGATAAAATCATTACAAGGACTTTTTCATTTGATACTTTGGATTTTAAAGGCTTTGTACAGAAGCTGAAATAGTGTGTGTTCTGAAAGCTTCACAGGAGACACTGTTGAAATGAAGTGATGCAAAGAAAGAATTGGCGAGCTTGGAAGTTTTTCTAATTGTTCTCTTTGGTTACTGTTTTACGACAGAGGAACACCTTGGTAACCCATTCATAGATATGCCCAAATCCACAACCCTTTTCATGAATTGTCCACAATAATCAATTTGTGATCAAGAAGGATTGCTCATTAAGGAGCAACCAAATTGTTTAAAACCCAACTATTTGATTTTAGTTTTTCGAAACTACTTTGTATAATAACAATTGCCAATTTCTCCAACCTAAAAAAAGCACGATTTTTCATGCTTTTTTACGTTATTTTTGTTGATATCCTCCATCCTTTTTCTACCACTTCCTGTCTACATACACATGCTCTAGTATCATCCACAAATTATATCTCTGGATAGGTCTATTGAGTGTGACATACACAGTGTGGACACTGGTAGGCTCAATCAGGGGCGTATGTGACAGGGTGACATTACCAGAGCACAATTGGAGCACATTTATTGTGCATGAGAAGGGACCTTCATGTTGGGATTACCAGATATTCATTTAATCATTTAGAAAAAGCTACAGGTTTAAAAATGTTGAAAATAATTTTTAAAATCACATTCAAGCAGAACTAAACATGCATTATGTTGTGCGTATCCTGTAGACTCCTATATGTACTTCCTGTTGACATGTGCCCGCCCCAGCAGTGGGTGAACATTACATTTTTACTGTAGTTATTACATCAGAATGTGGTAGTTCACTGTACATTAGCACGGGTGCATGTGAGCATGCAGGAAAGCTGATGTGAAGAGGGTTTCCTGATCTGGAGGGGGGCTTTTGATGTGAAAGGGTGCAATTCTAATGTGAATGGTGGGTAGGGAGGGAACAAAAAGATGAGGACTTCCCTTAAAATCTATACAAGGCCCCTACCTAGTACAAGGATCTGGAATGGATTTTTGGGGGACCACACATCTCTTTTAAAAATTTTATATTTACATTTTATAGACTGGAGTGCATCAAGATTTTGCAGATTTTTAAGGGGTGCCATGACTATAAACATGTTAAGAAATGTTGGTTGAGAGTGGCATAGCCAGTCTTTCTGATCTACTTTTAAACTCATGAGATACTTTTTTCATTTTCTGCTGCAGTAAACATGGCACTTTGTGCCCCATCCCTGTCCCAAAACAATGAAGGTGTTTCAGGAATTTCCTAAACTGTTTTAAATCTAGCAGCTGTAACATCAGAGAGGGTTTTATTCCTATGTCCATTTAAAGTGGAACTAAAGTCTGCTGTACTTACCTCTCCTTTAGCAATTTGATGTCCCCAAGCTTCTTCATTTTATGCAAAAGCATACTATTTACAGCTCGCAGTAGGCTAATGAAAATTATTTTTACTTTTTAAAGTTGTTACCATGATGTTTACTTCCTATTGCATACGTATAGTTATAGTATAGTGGTAACTTTGCAGAATGAATGAGGACTCTCCATGCTTGATCAGCAATAGACAAGCTATTTCAATGTTGCAAAATACAAGTGCGCTAAACCAGTCTGCTTTTAGAGTGGAAAATTTTCAGAATTCACAGTGTTATTACATTTCTGAAGTTTGAAGTGAAACAATCATATAAGAGCTAATGGTTTAAAAGCAGAAAAGAGAAGACATGCCAGTTATTCATACCACTGTTAGCAATCAGGGAAGAGAAGACCAGGCACGATTTATATTTAAATATTGGGCACCTGATTTGGAATGAATATGTGACATGGGTCCAGCTGGCCGTCTAATGACTTTCTTGGTTTGGGTGTACTAATTTATAATTGCTGTAGGCTTTTTGCAGTCCACTGTAAGTTCATGTTTGCAGTCAGGGAGGCTGTACACAATACGTTTATTGATACACAAATGGCACAGTTCTCTGAAGTCAGTGGCACTGGGCTTTCTCAGATATTCCTTGCTTAGCTAAGAGTCCTTCCAGCTGCCAAGCTCATTTAAGTTTAATTGAGGTGAAGGAAGTAATGCTGTGCAATGTTGGCACCGTGTGAGACTTCTACTGTATCCAGGCTTATTGGTTTGTTTTTGCTTCTTCTTTCCGAGTAGGAAAAAGAGAAGAAGTACATGCTACCTTTGGACAACCTGAAGGTTCGAGATGTGGAAAAAAGCTTCATGTCCAGCAAACACATCTTTGCGCTGTTCAACACTGAGCAAAGGTAGGATGAAAAGAAGAACAAAAACTAAAATATGTATTTGTTACTAGATCTCATCTTTATATCCAAGAGATGTATCTTAAAGGAAAATGCTAGGTTTAGCCCAATTTTCCCTAGGTGACAAAAATATTTTACGTTAAGATTCTCCCTTATCCCTATGGTTTGTCACAGATCATGCTGATATTAAATTGGCCAATATACCGGTAAAATATGTATTTGTTACTAGATCTCATCTTTATATCCATGAGATGTATCTTAAAGGAAAATGCTAGGTTTAGCCCAATTTTCCCTAGGTGACAAAACTTGTCACAGATCATGCTGATATTAAATTGGCCAATATAAAATAAAAAATATATTAAATTGGCCAATATAAAATTAAAAATATATTAATTTGGCTAATATAAAATGCCAAATAAATCTGTTACCTAAAAAGAAGACTGTAAATACATAGCTTTCCTGCTGCCCACGCCGCTCCATTGCTGAGGAATCTTCTTCTAACACCTGGAGTGAAATAGACGCTACCCCTAGTGCCAATCTCCTGTGTCCCTCCCAGTGGTCATTGGTTCCTCCCACTGACCTCCACAACACTACAGGGCACAGCAGTAATGTGGAGGACAGGGAGGAGAAAACAGTGAGCATTGTTAGGGACCCAAGAGATTGACACTACTGGAAGTGTCAAATTCCCACCAGAATTTGGAAGAGGATTCCTCAGCAGTGGAGCAGTGTGAGGAGGGCTATGTAATTACAGTCTTTTTCCAGTGAACAGATTTATTTAGAATTCTATATTAATGACAGGGTTGACATAACTACCACGTTGCATTGGTTCAGTAATTGTTAGTTATGTGCACGTTCTGAGGAAGGCATAAAGGTTAGAGCAGTGTTTCTCAGCCTTTTTTTGAGTTATGAGACACTTTTAAACAAAGCTTGAGGCACCCCAGTATAAGGCACAGTTCACACTTTACCACACATCGCGTTTGTGTGCACTTTGACGCATGTCAGCCCATTCACTCCAATGGGCTGCTGCACACGTGCCAAACACAGCGAAGAAGCTCTTGCAGATTTGAGCTGCAAGCTTCACGTGCTTTTGGACCACACATTTGTGCACATTTGACATGTGTTAACACAAAGGCAAAAATGCATATGGCTACGTTTGGGGGTGCCATTAACAAGTACACTACTGCACTACTTTTTTCAGCCTCACTGCAACACATGGTAATGCGGTACAGTGCGTTGCGGCGCATTTGAGCAGCTTGCAGGTGGAGGGGCATTTGGGGCAGTAGCGTGTGGTAATTTCAAAGAACCGTGTGATTACCATACCACAGTGGTGTGAATGGGAACTGAATGTGAAGAAAAGAAAACACACAATGTGGGGCCCCAAAGTCTCATGTCCTCAGTTGCTATGATCCTGTTGGGCAGCTTTCACAGGGTAGTAGCTTGTGTTGCAGGGCCAGGGGAGAGGCAGCAAAGTATGCTGTGCAGGCTGCCTGATGGCATTCAACAATGTCATTGGTTGCTAGGGAGCCGCTCACAGGGCACCCGCTTGATTCTCAGCAACCGATCGCAAAACCGGTCGTTAAAGATGCTGTCGGTGGCCACAGTTTAAGATTTTGATACTGTAAGTGGGCAGGGAAGGGGAGAAATGACACTGTGCTTGATCCACATTGTTTGTACACTTTGGACATTTTTGTTTCATTTTGTCACGGCACCCCTGATGATCTCAGGCAGCACACAACTGTGTTGCAGCACCCCAGTTGAGAAACACTGAATTAGATGAATACATGCTCTGCAAAAGTTATTACAGACCAACAAAAAACAGTAAAAATGTAACATAATTGTCAGTAATTAGGTCCTATGCAGCCAACCCCTACATGATTCAGGACAATAACAACTCTTTTTTTAATACAATATTAAAGCTAAACTCCAGCCAGACAACAAAATGCACACATGAAATACATATATGGGAGCTGTTTTACCTTCCAAAGGATTTATATGTCTATGCATCCAGTCCTGAGATTTACACAGTCCTGCCACACAGCACGGTCTTGTCTGGCAATTAAGTAACCCTGATAGGTGGTGTCACTCCCCCAGCCTGTGACTAGACAGAAAAGAAAAAGCAACACACTGATGAGATCATCTCTTAGGGGTCTATTCACTAAGCTGCCGTAGGCAGCCGAGTTAATGACCGACCTAAAGCGAAGTGAGCCGAACGCTGTTCGCGCTATTCACTTCAGGCTGGTACGGCTGAAATCAGCCGTACATTGGGTGGCTTCGGGTCGGCCAAACATGCTCAGCATGTTCGGCCGACCCAAAGTGCAGGAGGAGTTCGACTTAGCCGATCCAACATCTGGATCGGCTAAGCCGAACCTCCGGTAGGCTACTCGCTGCTGTGCGGTCTATTCCTATAGATGCCGAACAGCACCCGCCCTCTGCTGATGGACCTGATGGAGAACTGCAGCAGAGGGCGGGTGCAATGCTAGTTTACTATTGGCTATTGCAAATTGAAATAGCCAATAGGAATCTAGCAATGCATTCCTATGGGCAAAATTTATTTTTATTTTTTTCTATTCTGACACAGCTCCGTGTCAGAATAAAGAAAAAAAAAGAAACAGCAGTGTTTCTCTCCTGGGCAGCCGGGAGCGGGAGACTCCCGGAGCGCCCGGGAGAGTTTGCTGTCTGGAGATAAGTGTAATTTACACTGCATGTAATTTAGCGACTGCATTAATATGCTCACACTTGGAGACTCGTATAGATAGAGTTAGGACCACACTTTGCAGAGGTGCCTTGGCGCGGTGGTGTGGCTTCTACATATTTTTTGCCAAATGTTTGTGCAACTAAAACCTCTGTTTTTAACGCATACTGTTGACAGGGTAATTTGTTTTGTTGCAGGCTAGCTGGCAGGTGTGCTGGGGATTTTTTGTGTTTTGTCCCACAAAAAGAGAGGAATTAAATGTATGTACACCAACGCTAGAAGTCTGGCAAATAAAATAGAGGAGCTTGAAATTAGGTTAATTGAAGAGGACTTCGACATAGTGGGTATAGCGGAAACCTGGCTGGACAGCACGCATGACTGGGCTACTAATATAGAGGGGTATAACCTGTTTAGGAGGGACAGATGGGGGATATGATTTCCATGTACAAAATGTTTAATGGTGGTAGCAACATTAGCGATAAACTGTTTAAAATTAACTCCGTTACAAAAACTAGAGGCCATCACCTAAAATTGATGGAAAAAAAATTCCAGCACAAGGGGCGAAGGGGGTTCTTCACAGTAAGATCAGTTAGGGTCTGGAACTCACTGCCACAGGCGGTGATTTCAGCAAATAATGTGGAATTGTTCAAGAAACTTTTGGACGATTTCTTAAGGGACCGTAATATACAGGGGT